CCATTTACAGACCGTTATAATCGATCCCATTAAGTCACGAACACTGTTTGTCTAGTATCTCTAATACATTTATTAGTTCAATTAATTACCCATTTTTTATATCAATATTTACTTGTTTATTATTTCTGTTTATGTCTTAATTATTTAATATTTCTGAAACACACTCTCAAGAAATGTTTCTAATATTTTCTCACTTTTCAAATATTCATCTTCTGCAATGTTAAATATCCTCAACTTTGCAGTGAATGAGAACACAAGTGGGGATAATCGAATGCATTGACTCAAAAATTACAGACTATCACAAAATAACCGACAAATGCCTTAACCTTGACTGTTGCTTCTGCAAATATAAGTCTGTCTTCTCTGGTTTCATTGTTCATGCGTTTTCATACAAATTGCACTTCGTTCCTGTTCTTTCCTTATCCATCTTCTGCTAAAATATATTCTATGTCTGATTATCACCATATACTACTTATGTGGATATAAGTAACCCACACCACAACTTTATTGTACTCTTTCCAATGTCGAATGTATCAGTTTTTTATTCATTGTTAAAGCATTACTTTCACTAAATGAAACAACATTCTTTGCAACACAATCTCTGATGAGGTTATTAAACATGTTAAAAAAAGAACTATCAAAGATGTATAAAAATTCATAGTTGAAAGTGTGAGTCAATTGAAGTTAGACCACCAAGGAAAACCTGGAAGCACTGGAACTCCTCAGCAGTGCTCATCCACGACCTCGCCTCACGAGATTCGAACCCAGGACCTACCAGTCTCGCGCCAGAGCACTTAACTGGTAGGTCTTGGGTTGGAATCTCGTGAGGCGAGGTCGTGGATGCGAAATGTTGAGGTGTCCCACAATAAGGCAAAACGGCCGTCCAGTGCTTTCAGGATTTTCATGGTGGTCTAGCTTCAATTGTCTCATGTTTTCAACTATGAAAATACTAAATCTCCACAAAAAGATTCTCCTGAAATAAATATATATATATATATATATGTATATATATATAATATTCTAGTATGGGATATATATATATATATTTAATGTGCTTTCTGTAAAACAAAGATACATATGAAAACAACCGCGTTTTTTTGTTTTTCCAGTTTTATAGGTTCATGTATTATTTTTAAAAACATTTCCTTAAATAATTTGTTGCTTGTTTACTCTACAGCATATATATATATATATATATATATATATATATATATATATATATATATAACAGATATACATTCAAACTACATGATTAACTAATTTTTAGATAAACCAGATTTATTCACTGTTGATTGATAGATAGATAGCTAGATATGTGTTGTGTTTTTCTTTTCAACTTACATATCAAGTAATATATCCTGGTGTGTTTTTACATAAGTTTATCTATAGCATTATCAAATATTTTGAAGTGTCAAATTGATGACAATCATCATCATCATCATCCTCATCAAAGTAGATATTATTTGTTATTTTGAAAAGTGTAAGTTCGAATTTATTGTATCTGTCAGTGTTTATTGGGAACTATAAGATTAAATAAGAGGATGGAATTCCATAAAAGTATGTACTGAATGTCGTCATTAATTAATTTTTACTAAAATCATAGAACAGATCATTTGTTAGAGTTTCACATAGACGAAAATAATTAATCACATGTATTCAATAACAAAAGATCGAACTCTTGTTCAGTTCAATGAAAAATATTAATGTAAATGAATCTAGGTAATATAATTTCCATAAAAAATTAACATTATATAATCAAAACATATTATTCAAATGTATTTTGGTTTCGCAATGTTATATATGAGTTTCACATGTTATAACATCCATCCTTACAAACGTGATGGCTATGCATAGTTATTTTCTTTATAATACACGCCAGTGTAAAACAGGTACTCATTTGTAGTGATTCCGAATACCTGACTTTTAATAATTTCTTTGAAATCTTTACATACAATCGTTTTTCATTTTTGATGTTAAAATAAAGTCACTTAATGATTGATTTCAAAAATGTAGCAGCTTAAATAGTATAGGCTAAAGTATAAAGTCGCCAACTTACCTTTAGAATTATTATCAAATATATGAGTGATAAGTTATTTAATTTTACCTATACAAACGATTTTCTTAGTTGAATATATATTAAAGCAAATAAATGAATTACATTTATAGAACTGCTAACATATGTCATTTTTATATTTTTTTCAGTGAAAATACATCCTGATTAAATAATAAGTGTCCCAAAATAAATTAAAGAACTATTTTTGTTGAAATATGATGATCGTTAGATTCACCTGGTATTGTTTACGTGAATCTTGCCATTGACGTTTAGGACTGCAGTTGATCAGTCTCTTATGTGTATATTGTGCGTATTGCCTCGATATTGTCTTAATTCACAAGCATTATAAGTAAAGATGGATAGTGGCTAGCAGTGAAATTCAGGACATGCGTTTAGTCCTATTTGAGATTCATCAACTGGATGTACCTGCATCTAAGAGTTGATCTTCACTCTGGAAAGTGCGATGGAGTTAAAAGTGAACAGTACTGGGTTGGAATCCCAAACTGAACCTTAACTCTGAGATGAAGGTACATCCAGCTGACAATCCCCAAATAGGACGAGACGTGCGTCCTGAATTCCACTGCTAGACAATATCCATCTTTATTATAGTAGTTATTTTTCAACCAAATGTATATTAGTGTATAATATAAAGAGGATTTCAAATATTTTGCATTCATCAGAAATTATCATATACTTATTTACTATATGGACATGGATTTTAGACAAGCTGATGTTTTTTGACATGACGCTCGACTTATTTGGTAATTTATTACGGTAATGTAGTCGGCTGGACGAACAATTTAATTTAACAACAGATTCATTATTTCTAAAAAGTTAGATTACAGAAACTTACAGCCGCTGGTGAGAGAGGTTCTCATGCTGGGGAATTAAAGGGTTACTTTAAAAACGAAACAATCAATCAAATTAGTGTGACTGTCTATTACCAGTTTGTTAACGAATGAATAGTCAGTAATGAAAACAACAGTAATATCTTTATAAGCAGAGATGGATAGTGGCTAGCAGTGGAATCCAGGACGCGCGTTTCGTCCTATTTGGGACTCGTCAGCTGGATGTACCTGCATCTCAGAAGCGAGGGTACTGGGTTCGAGTCCCAGAGTGAACATCAACTCTGAGATGCAGGTACATCCAGCTGACGAGTCCCAAATAGGACGAAACGCGCGTCCTGGATTCCACTGCTAGCCACTATCCATCTCTGCTTACCATGCTTGTGAATTAAGGTATATCGAGGCAATACGCACAGTATGCACATATGCCAATTAGAGACTGACCAGTTGCAGTCCTAAACACATCGATGGGAAGATCCAAACAAACAATACTAAGTGAATTCAGTAATATCTTTATGTTTAAATAGTTTGACAGCTTGACCGAAACTTTTGTATTTCAATCTACTTACAGAAATGAATTTTAACCAAAGATGAAACCAGAGGTCTAATTTTTTTCTGCGAATTCTTCCCTCGGTGGTTTAACTGTCAATAATGGATACTTTGCGTCATATATTAATATTACGGAAATCTGATCGTATGTTTCTGCATACACTATAATTTCATGACGAGGAAGTAGTGTTGAAATTGTCAATTCAAGAGGTTATTAGAATACAGTCTCTCTTGATACTATAAACTTTCCGTAAAGCTTATAATTTGAAATTTTGTTTTGATCAAATACACACTGACATGAGCAAGAAAATAAATTGAAACTACTAGTATGTATTATTCCGGACAAACCCTAGAAGAAACTGACATCTTAGTGCTAAAAATCTGTTGGATATTTTATCAATGATATTAAATCGTCCAAGAACATTTTCCATTCTGCAAATACCTGAAGTTCTTGAGTTCTGTATAGTTTTAGATCGTGTGTGCAAACAGTTCAAGAAAACAAAGTTTATACAGAACATTTACAAGATTACTTCATTAACTCATATATTCTTGTTTATTCACCAAATAGGACAGCTAAACACAGTTTGTTCATTGATCAACCTAACAGCCTTACTGAAGATATAATACAGTGTAATAAAAATGATAATTCATTTTAAACGAGGACTTTAAGTACGTTTAGTTCATTTTTGTAAAATTCATAGTTTTCTCACCTACAGAAAGTTAAAGTACTTCTTATTATAATAATTATGAAGATCAAGAGTTTGGAATTAATTCAGACATGATTCATTTTAACGATTGTTACTCAAACTTTGAAGCTGTTTTAAGCACAGTAGGATAATAAGAAATACAGAAATAAACTGTTAAAATTCACCTCATCAAGTGCCTTCTTTCAAATGTTAAATAAAAAATGCAACATATTTTTGCATCTTTTAATTCCAATTGCATTTTAAAAATAAAAACAATGAACTAAACTCAATCTTCATTCATTCATTCACATTTGAAATATTAGTCTCCGACTGAATAGATCACTTACATTCAGTAGATAAATCTGATAGAAAAATTTTCATCTTATTTAGGGAAATAAATATTGTTAGAATTGATTTATAGAATGAATAAATATCATCATTTGTAATATGATACATCAGTAAAAATAAGCTTTGTCTTCAACTGTTTATTGTCATTTATCAGAATAGGGATTTGTAGAGATTTAAATATTTAAACAGTTGAATTTAACAGTCAATCTAAGCTGGACCACCACTGAAAACCTTGAAAAACTGGATGACTGTTTCATCCTAGTATGGGTCTCTCGCGTACAAAATCATGAATACGTACTGTTGAGGAGTTCCAGACCAAGATGAAACGGTCATCCAGTATTTCAAGGTTTTCAATAGTGTTCAAGCTTTGATTGACTAGTGAATGCAACTGTTGAAATATATTAAACACATAAAACAAACAGTTACAAGAAATACATTCACAATTATTTATTATAAATCCATTGAATAATTGAAATTTCATTTTTTTTTAAAGTTTATATTTAAATAATTAAAACCTACTTGAATGTTTCTTAGGCATTTTATAAACAGATGATAGATCATCATTTTGATAAACTGTATTATATCTCATACAATTTATATAACTTGAACATATCCAATAAATATATAAAATGATCTTTATCAAATCTACATGTCTATGATGACGTTGTATTATAACACTGAACATGTTTTATTAGATAATTTAATATTTGCCTTTTTATTAATTTATGATTTAAAATATACTTAAATAAAGTGTATGACATCAATTAACCATATTTTTTCCCTTTAAAATTAAAAATAAAGAAAAATAAAAAAAAATACAGATTACTGATTGGTTATTATTTAATTTATGAAGAACCAATGAAAAAATTAACCTAATTTTTCTTGAAATTTTATTGGCTATTCTATTTATTTATTGTTTATTCCCATTATTATTATATTCAATGAACAAGTAAATAAGACAATCTATTAATATATAAATCATTAATTAGTTTTAATTATGTTAATTAATAATTTATCTTAAAAACTTTGTACTTTTTATCGTCTACGGATAGATTTTAATGAACTATCGTCTTTACAATAAGAAATGAGGTTTTATCTAGACCAATTTAGTTGATAATATCAATTTTCTCATAGAAAATTATGGATATTAAAAATGAATGTTATAAAGTAGATGCATAAAACGGATTAAGTGAGGTTAGCAATATAAAAATTATCTATGAACACTGCGCCTTTAAAAATGTCTTCTTCTGTGTGAAAGTCATAAGTTTTGGGAAAATTTACTGCATTACACCTATTCTGTAATATTATAAACTAATTTTAACAAGGATAATAGTGAATATCGTTAAAAGAATGACTGCTCACTAAAGTGAATCATATCTCTGTGACTGTATAATTGATCATATCTGCACTTTTGTAACTAAGTGGTCAACTATATTGTCCAGGGAATCGTCTCTGTTATGTACCTGTCGAGTGTGTTGAGTCTAACTGTATTTATCTGACGACCGGGAACCACTACAATTGCTTGACTCTAATGTTTATATTGTGTAGTGGTAAACACTACAAATCCCACAAAGTGAAGTCAGAACACGGAAGACTGGCACAAAGAACACTTATGAATCCTCAAAAATACGCCTATAAACAATTCTCAAAATCAACAATAAACCAAAGTGGAATCATTTACATACTAATTTTCATGCATATTAAGTAAAGGAGAAGGAGGAATACATACAGTTATTGTAAAAACAAAATAAATATAGTTCACCTGAATTAATACAGGAATTTATCACAATGAGTAAGAATTCACACTTATCATATAAAATAAATTTTATACTGAACTGATACAAGAAAATATTGAACTTAAAGTTCCATACTGAACTAAGTTTACGCATGTCACTTTGGCCTAAATTTCAAGGGAGTCGATACAAAAAGATACTGACCTATATAATATCATCTTATCCCATCATAGCAAATATAACCAAAAGTATTTTTTAGAACTCGTAGTACTGGAAAAATAAGAAAAGGATTATTAAAGTTAAATTCTAATTGACATAATGTGGTGGTCCGGGTTAGCCGACAGGAAACCCTGGACCTAGGTCTCATGCTATTTGACACATATCAGCAAGGTATCCTGTTATCTTGAGGTGACTGATGTCGTGGTGGCTTAGGAGCTAGGGCTTTTGGCCACCATTGAGGGTAACAGGCGTAAGTAAGTAAGTAAGCTCTTCTGTTTTGATATATCTAATATAGAATATTATAATCTGGTTTGTTTGTTTATAGACTGATTTTTGTAGAAACATAAAAAAATATCTTTCATTTTAACATTCATTTGATATATGTTGAATAAAAAAGATTGAATTTTCTATTGTTACTTACTGACCACCATTCTCCATCCAACCCTGTCCTGGCCAATCCTTACCAGTTCTTTCCAGTTATTATTCATCTTCTTCATATCTGCTTCTATTTCCCGACGTAATGTGTTCTTTGTCCTTTCACTTTTCCGCTTCCCTTCAAGATTCCATGTTAGGGATCGCCTCGTGATGAAGTTCGGTGATTTCCGTAATATATGTCCGATCCACTTCCAACCTCTTTTTCTAATTTCCTCTTCAGCTGGAAGCTGGTTTGTCCTCTTCCACAGAAGGCTGTTGCTGATTGTATCTGGTCAGTGAATGTTGAGTATTTTGCGTAAACAACTGTTTATAAATACTTGTACCTTCTTGACGTTGATTGTCGTAGTTCTCCACGTACAATAGAACTGACTATCTTGACGTTCGTATTGAAAATTCTCACTTAGAAATTAGTTGAGAGTTGTTTTGAGTTCCATATGTTCTTCAATGGTAGAAATGCTGTCCATGTCTTGCCAATCCTCGCCTTTACATCTGAATCCGATTCTCCTTGTTCATCAATGATGCTTTCCAGGTACGTGAATGTTTCCACGTCTTCCAGGGTTTCTCCATCAAGTGTGATTGTGTTGATGAATTTTCTATTATACTCTACTAAAAATAATTTGACATTTTCATTATGATGTATATTCAGAATGTTGGATTATTCTTTTTATATTATCATCATTATGATTATCTTAGTTACACTGAGTAAAAAAAATAATAACCATAGGTAAACAAATAAACTGAATGAAAGTTGTAAAAGATATTTGACATAATTTATTACATCATAAATTCATCAATACATTCTTCTGTTTTCGCTTAAAACTATCAACCTTCTTCAATAAATAATTTAATTATCAATAACAAAGCAGAAAGAAAAATTGTTCAAAAAAAAACCAATCTAAACAAACATTTATATCTTATTTTGATTTATAGTGTTTTTTCTATTGAAAGGTGAAACTTCTTTTCCTTTATCTTAGTTTACAATTCTTTTGAATATTTTATAAAGAAAAACAAATTTAATTACTTAAGTTTATGTTTTTCAACTGATGGTGGTCATTGTTAACTCATTGCTGTAAAAAACCAATCATAAAATAATAACATACAATTTGACTAATCATCATAATAGTGAAAATATAAACAATAATAACTTTAGTTCTGATAACAATAGTAGTGCGAATAGATTATAGATTTTATGTCTTCGGTAAACATATATATATCAGTTAGTTGCTGTGACTAGATTCATGAATCAGTATACATATTCTTAGGATATGTTGATATGGCGACATAATGTACATTCATCTATTGGATACATTCACTTTTAAACGTGTTAATTGTCTTTAACCAGTTTTTAATCAATGAATCTCATTACTAACTTGAAAAGCATTTTATTTACTTAAAAGCAAAGAAAGGGGGAACTGAAATAAAAAATTCCAAGTTATTTAAAAACATAATAAGGTAACAACAGAACCCATTTTTAGAAAATAATTGTTTGTGGTTATTTTATTACTCGTTTCTATCAGGTCGATAATTCTATGTTGATGTATTCTGAATTTTCTTAATATTTATCTACCAAAGTGGTTAGATCAACTACCCATTATGAAATATTGATTCGACTTTCATTGTTCTTATCACAACTGATGAACCTGTCATTACAGTATCGAATTGTATATCTTATTTATCATGTTTGGTTACGTAATCTATTTCACTGATATTATTAGATCTAAAATTTTTAAAATCAATCTATCATTTTATATAAATGTATATGTTACTACATATTTGAGTAAAACTTGATGATCTGAGTGAAAATAATGTGATTCACTTATGTCTTTTTCTAATGTGCAATTAATCATTTCTGTTAACTTGATTATTTCAATATGTTTCCAGAAATCATCTGCTTTGTTACAGCAATGGTTCCAATAACTTTTCAGTTATTTTAATAAAATAATCCAATTACAGTTAACTTCAAGAGACATAGATGTGTATGGTTTATCATTTATAACTTAATATGCATTCATTTATTTGCCGTATCGTTTTAATGATTTATTTACACACACACAATCTTTTATTATTATTATTCATATTACATAATCAAGTATTATAGTCTTTTTTTACATCATTATATTTTGACGTCGTTCATATGTCTTCACGGAACTAATAACTTCTATAATGAACAATAAATTAACGCAAATCATCGGAGTAAAAACTATTTAAGAATGGAAAATACAATGAAGATTATTAACGGAAAGAAAGAAACTTGAGAGAAGCAATAACAATTGATGATTAAGTATGAAAGATTAAGAGGAGATTGATGAACATAATGAAGTTAAAAAGCAGAAAAACTGAAATTAACTGACTTCAAAAAACTTGATTGATGAAAACCTATATATTCAAGAAAAGATGAGAATAACGATCGTTTTGATTTTTATTTAAATTTATATCCAAATCCTTGGGCAGATTGTGAATTGAATAGACTTTTAATAGTTTTCAATATAGTGAGAACTATTTGTGACAATTATCAGTTGAAATAGTAGTAACGAAATGCACCTTATAAGGTATTCGAGATTATTTGGCTTTTGAAATATGTTTGAAAAATAACATTATCTCATCTGGTGCTAAGTATACTTCATAATTTTATAACATTTACCTAACCTCATGCACAGAGATAAAGAGTTAGAATTCATTCGATCTCTAGATTAATCTAGACAGATAAAACGTGGATAATATAACTTTGCAGATAAATTTATTTATTTTTTTAAGTGATAGAAATCTAGTTATAGATACAGGAAAGTTTTATAACTCTAAGGTGTTACAGTTGATGGCATAAATCTCTGTGAAAAAGTAAATAAGCTAGTAGAATACTTTGGAAAGACAATAAACACCTTACTATATAGACATCTTAACTATTATTTATCTGACAGAACTCAATGTTTTCAAACAAATAAACTATATCGAATTTTATATAGTTGTGATCATGAGTCAATTGGAGCTAGACCACCATGGAGAACCTGGAAGCACTGGACGGCAGTTTCGTCTTATTGTGGGACTCCTCAGCAGTGCGCATACACGATCCTGTCTCGCCAGATTCGAACCTAGGACCTACCAGTCTTGTGCCAGAGCACTTAATCGATAGACCACTGAGCCGGTATCCAACAGTGTTAATGTCTATCGAATTTACTCAAATTATTCGCCGAATACATTTTATTTATTACAAACTATAGAATATGGCAGAATACAATAATTTTAATACATTTCACAACAAATTACAAGGGAAAAACAAAATAAGTGAATTTTTAATTTAATT